AGGGGAGGGGGAAGAGGAAACGGAAGGGGAAGGGGAAGGGAGGAAGGGGGTCCCACTATGATACTGAAGCCAAGCTGGGTCTTTTTGGGACTCCTGATAACCTCAGGTGTGGACTTAATCCCTGGGGGCGGAGGGTCTACTATAGAAGATTCAGGTTCTTGTTTAATGGGGGTGTCCTTGAGCTTCCCAGGGTCTTTCTAGCTTGGTTCTACCATTAACCCATTGCATGCCTTTAAGCCCCTTTTCCTCTTTGGGCCTCAGTTTCCTTGTGTAAAACAGGTGGGTTGGGTAGATGATCTTTGAGATCCTTTCCGGATCAGACTTCCTGAACATCCATCAGTCCAGCCCTACACCTCCAGGCCTCTGTTTCCAGGCTCTTGCCCTGGCCCAGGCCTGCCTCCCTCATAGCTCACCGAAATTGCTCTGTCAGCCTCTGCACTATTGCTGGCCTCCTCCATTCTCTCTGATTTACACACCCCACACATTGCTCAGGTAACTTCCTGAGGCTTGAGAACCTCCCACAGCGCCCCATGGCCTCCCTCAGAATAATCCAGCTCATCCCCTGGCATTCGGCACATCCCACCTGCAGTCTTGGAGCCTGGACTCAGTTTCCTCATCTGCCTGGGACACTAACAACCCCTACTTGGGGGGCTGTGGTGTGGGCACACAATGGGGCACACGAAAGGGGCATGGGGAAGACTGGGTAGCCTACCTGGCACGCGTGGCTCTCTGTGCTCGAAAGGCTGCCCATCCCACCCTCACTCTCCTTCATTCAGATTGGTGAGGTCCTCCAAGGCCGGTTCAAGTCCCACTGCCTCCTAGACAGACCACCCTCTGGGCTGCATCAGAGGTGACCTTGCCCACATGGAGCTCCCACAGGGCTGGACTCCACTCGCCTGCCTGCACCTGCAGCTCCCACCATCCTGTGGGGAATGTATAACGCGGGCTCCTAGAGAACCAGCTGGCACGGCACTGGCTGAGGGAAAGGCTGGGTCTCTGGGCTCCGGTCCACGACCCCTACCTTCCCCCAGGGCTGCGTTTTTGACACAGATTATCTTTGACCCTCAGAGACATCCTCAGCACCGACTTCAAAAAAGCTCATGGTTGGGTCTCAGAGCACATTCTCAGCTGGAAGTTTTAGACTCCATGTTGCCCTGTACAGATGACCCACCAAATTGACTCTTAGAAAGCTTCCCCACCCTGGCTGGGTAGCTCAGTTGGTTAGAGTGTCATCCTGCTACACAAAGGTTGCAGGTTCGATCCCCAGTCAGGACACACACAAGAAATAACTAATAAATGCATAAATAAGTGGAACAACAAATCAGTGTCTGTCTCTTTCTCTCTCCCCCTTCCTCTCTTTCTCTAAAATCAATCAATAAAAAATAAAAGGGGATCCTTTGGGGCGGAGGAGAAGAAAGCAAGCTTCCCCGAGACCCAGGAAAGTGGTAGCTGGTAGAAAATACATGTTAGAAGAAACTGCCAAGGGAAGAGAAGCCAGACCTAGAAGCTTAAGAGACCCCCCACCCTGGGGTCTGAACACTGCTTCAACCACTTGTAGGGCCTTGGGCAGGTTACCTAATGTCTCTGAGCCTCAGTTTCTTTATTAGTAAAGTGGGGACAATAATACCTATTAGATGATGCATGTGAAGTGCTTAGCTCATGGCCTGGTACCTCATAAATGCTCTAAATATGCTAGCTATAAGCCTTATTGAAGACAGATGGATCAAGGCCCCCAGCTGAGGGTGGTGGGGAGGGCTGTCAAGAAGCAGGGAGGCACCAAGGCACAGGCCGCTTAGCCAGAGATAGGCAGTTGGTTAACAGCTAGAATAAAACACAAAGCCCCAAGTCTGGTGCTAAGCAGTCTACATACATTATCTCATTTAAACCTCAATCAAAAATAAGGGTTTGGAAGAGAAGCTTCCTAAAGCCTTTCCAATTCAGTGAGTACTTGTAGAAGGTTTTCCGTTTACAAAGTATTTTTCACTTTATAGAGTCAACCTATAGTTCCATCAGTGTTGTAATAGTTGTAATGGCCACACAACTAGATCTGGGACCAGAACCAGGAGGATGACTCCATCTTTCCCCAGAACCTGGTGGCAGGCAGCTCTGAGAGGGGTGGGTGAGACCTGAGGCTCCACCAAGGGCCCCAGGAGGGGCATGGCGCTTGAAGACGACGTCATGGAAGCTTGGCTCTGGCTCCTGCCCAGCGTCCGGTTCTGTGGGGCTGTGCCGAGGCCCAGAGGCCTGGGTCTGGAACTCATCAACCCCACCTGTCAGCCCTCCCATGGCCGCTCGCTTGGCCTTTGGTTATCACTAAGGGGAGTGTGGCTTCAGTCCAGGGGCCCAGAATCCCTTCCCTGCCAGCAACCTTAGGGCAGGGAGCTGTGTTCCCATCTGCCAAGCATCCCCAATTTGACTGGGCCGTTATATGACAGGCACCGTGAAATATGCAAAGACCTCACTATTCATAAATATTTATTGAACACCTAGTGTGCCTGGCCCTGAGCCGGCTCTAGGGAATCAGGCAGAAATTCCTATTTACTCTGGTAAAATAAGCTGTAAAGGAAAGCTAAATGTGATGGGAAATAAAAGAGAGCAACTCACTTTACATAGGGGAATCAGAGAAGGCCTTTGACCTGAGAGAGGGATGTGCAGCTAGAAAAAGCATTCCAGACAGAGGAAAGGGCCCACAAAAAGTCCTGAGATAAGGAAACATGGAATATTTAGAGAGCACAGGACCAGTGTGAGGTGGGCACACAGCAAGCTCATCCTCAGTAAATGCCAGCTGAATATTAACAAATTATCATAAGGATTCCTGCTTCCAGCCAAGGTGGTAACAGGGACTGGGTTGACATTCCCAACTAAAATACCCAACAAAATATATGAAACAATGGTTCTGAAGACATTGAATGCCAGACAGTGAAAAATACAGGGTGTCCCCCCAAAAATTTATACACACACTTTGAATATTTATAAAGGCAGTGTTTATTAAAATACATTTCATTTTCAAAACTGAGCTATCAGCTGTTACATGTGTATACATTTTTGGAGGGCACCCTGTAGTGACTCCTGCGAGTCAGGAAACACATGAGGTGAGCCCCGCTTTACTGCCTGAAGAGTTTCCAGACCAGGGCAGAGCAAGAGGAGGGCAAGTAGAGTCCAGTGGTCTCCCACACTGGAAAGGTGAAGCTAGTAGTCTGGGGACACACGGCAGAGAATCAAACAGGCGAGAGCTGCACTGAGAACTCTGGAGCTCTATAGAAGGTACCTCTTCAGTAACTCAGCTCAGTGCCTATATGTGAGGAAACCACCAGAAAGCGCGGTAAGAACCACCCAAAAGAATTAGAACAATCCTGGGCTCTGACACAGGGCTGGGAATAGCACTGGCTCCCACAAACCAGAGAGGAAACCTCATAATTAATGGGGCATTGAGTGGAGCACTCAGGAGAATTTTTGGCTCAAAAGTAGGTCAAATTAAATGCTGCTCTGGCCCCACCTAACAAAAACAAGATCTGAAAGGAGCAAACTATTTTCAAATAACTTTTGTACCCCAGAACAAAGCTCAAAAATATTTATACAAATACAAAAATAACTATTGCCCAGCAGAATAAAACTCACAATGCCTGGCAACCAATAAAAATTAGCATGTATACAAAGAAACAGGAAAATATGGCCCATGATCAAAAGAAAAACCAATCAATTAAAACCTACTCAGAAATTACACAGATGACAGAATTAGGAGACCCAGGCATTAAAACAGTTATTCTGATTCTATTCCATAGGTGCAAGAAGATAAAGGAAAGATTGCCATGTTAAGTAGAGATATAGAAGATATTTTTTAAAAGACTTAAATTGAAATATTAGAAATGAAAACTATAATGTCTGAGATAAAAAATATACTACATGGATTAATGGAACAGTAGCCATGGCAGAAAATTAGTGAACTTGAACACATAGTTTTTGGATAAAAACTATCCAAAATAAAACAGAGGAAAAAAGCTTAAAAAATAATAACATGGAATCAATGAGCTGAGACAACTTCAAGTGACCTAATATATATGTGTAATTGGAATCTCCAAAGGAAGGAAAAGGACAGGAAAGATTATTTGAAGAAAAATAAACCGAAACATTTCCAAATTTGATGAAAACTATAAATCCACAGATGGGAGACACTTAATAAACCCCAAGCACAATAAACGTAAAGAGACTACACCAAGCTATCTGATCCTCCCCGTTCAACAGACAGCCACATCTTGTGCAGTGCCAGCCACGTCCGAGACGTAATGGTTAAGGTCCTAGTAAATGGATTTGACCATATTGAGTGCCTGGGCATCAGGGCTACTTTTAACTCTAGCAAAGCGGATATTGCTGCCATCGATGACCTCTTCATTGAACTCAGCTACATGGTCTACATATTCCAGTATTACACCCATGGCAAGTTCAATGGCCCAGCCAAGGCTGAGAACAGGCAGCTTGTCATTAGTAGAAGGCCCATCCCCATCTTCCAGGAGTGAGATCCCACCAACAGCAAGTGGGGTGATGCTGGTGCTGAGTATGTTGTGGGTACCACTGGTGTCTTCACTACCATGGAGAAGGCTGTGGCTCACTTGAAGGATGGAGCCAAAAAGGCCATCATCTCTGTTCCTTTTGCTGATGCTCCCATGTTTGTGATGGGAATGACCCATGAGAAATAGAACAACTCCCTCAAGATAGTCGGCAGTGCCTCCTGCACCACCAACTGCTTGGCCCACCCCTGGCAAGGCCATCCATGACAACTTTGGCATTGTGGTTCTCACAACTATAGTCCATGCTATCATTGCCACCCAGAAGACTATGGTGGTACCTCTGGGAGGCTGTGGCATGATGGCTGAGGGGCTGCCCAGAACATCTCTGCTCCTACTGGTGCTGCCAGGCTGTGGCAAGGTAATCCCTGAGCTGAATGAGAAACTCACTGGCATGGCCTTCCATGGTCCTACCTCCTAATGTATTCATTGTGGATCTGACCTACCATTTGGAGAAAGATTCCAAATATGATGGCATCAAGAAGCTGGTGAGCCCGGCCGATGAAGCTCAGCGGTTGAGCATTGACCTATGATCCAGGAGATCGAGGTTCGACTCCTGGTTAGTGCACATACCCTAGTTTCAGGCTTGATCCCCAGCGGGGGGCATGCAGGAAGCAGCTGATTAATGACTCTCTCATCATTGATGCTTCTATCTCTCTCCCTCTTCCTCTCTTTCTGAAATCAATAAAAGATATAATTAAAAAAAAAAAAGTTAAAAAAAACCCTAAAAGGCATCTTGGGCTACACTGAAGACTAGGTTATCTCCTGTGACTTTAACAGTGACACCCAGTCTTCACATTCAATGCTGGGGCTTATATTGCTCTCAACAACCACTTTGTCAAGCTCATTTCCTGGTATGACAACGAATCTGACTACAGCAACAGGATGATGGACCTTATAGCCTCCATATGGCCTCCAAAGAGTAAGAGTGACCTGGACCGCCAGCCGCACCCAGAACAGAAGAGGAAAAGAGAGGCCCTTAGCTGCTGGGGAGTCCTTGCCCCCAACTAAATTGCTCAATACACTGAGAATCTCTAGTCCTTGACACAATTTCCATCCCAGACTTCCTGAAGAAGGGAAGAAGCTTAGCATGTACCACCAATAAAGTACACTGTACGCAGCCAAAAAAATATATAAGGTACATCATAAACTGCTTTTAAAAAGTGATAAAGAGCTCTGGACAGTGTGGCTCAGTTGGTTGGAGCATTGTCCGATACATCAGAAGGTGGCGGGTTTGATTCCCCGTCAGGGTGCATGCTGGAGGCAACTGATCCATGTTTCTCTTCTCTCACACCAATGTTTCTATTTCTTCTCCCCTTCCTCTCTCTAAAGTCATTAAAAAAAAAAAAAAAAAAAAAGGGATAAAGAGAACAACTTAAAAGCAGCCAGAGCAGTCACTCACCTTGGGCTCCAGCAGAGGGAGGGCAGAGTGGACTGGGGCTGTGTGAGGAGAACCTAGGGTTGTGGGCTTTGGAGATTGAGATTAGAAGGCACCCCTCTGGATTCCTGTGCCGAGTCATTCCCCCATACTGCAGAGGACATCTTTCTCAGGCAGACAATTTACTGCTTTTACCTGGGGGGAGGGTGAGAGCAATTGCCCCACCCTGCTGGAAAACCTCTCCCTCTACCCAGAGGAGTTTCTACAGCCTGAGGTTCGTTAAAAGACTGATAACAAGCAGCTGCCCCACCCTGTGGAGTTTCTACAGCCTGAGGCATATTAAGAGAATCAGATTAATCAACCTGCAGCGAGAGGCAAACCTCAGAGTGCTTTGAGTCTTTGCCTGATCTGCTTCTGGACCCAGGCCTTGGAAAAGCAGACTTTGGTGTGCATCTTGGTCCTGTCCAATAGCACACAGCCCCAGCAGAGGAGACCTCAAGCCGAGGGTTGTTGATAGCTCCAAAGAGGGTACTCAAGGCCAGTCACAAACAGTGTCTGGCATGGGCCTGCACCAGAGACCCTCCAAAAAGACTGAGAGTCCTAGCAGATCTACTTAATACACAGAAACAAACCCAAACAGGCAGCCAAAATGGGAAGACAAAAAAACAAGCCCCAAATGAAAGAACAAGAGAAGTCTCCAGAAAAAGAGCTAAATGAAATGGGGATAAGCAATCTATCAGATATAGAGTTCAGAACACTGATTGTAAGGATGCTCAACAGCATGAAAAAAGATATGGAAACTATGAAGGAAATTAAGAATGACATAGCGGAAATAAAGAATACATTGGAAGGAATAAACAGAAGATTAGAGAAAGCTGAGGATCGGATTAGTGAGTTAGAAGACAAGGTAGGAAAAATAACTCAATCAGAGATCCAAAAAGAAAAAAACAATTAAAAAACAGGAGGACAGTTTAAGGGAGCTGTCGGACAACATGAAATGTAATAATATTCACATTATAGGAGTGCCAGAAGAGGTCAAAAATAAGCAAGAGTTAGAGAACCTGTTTGAAGAAATAATGGCAGAAAATTTCCCTAACCAGGTGAAGGAAAAAGTCACTCAAGCTCAGGAGGGACAGAGTCCCAAGCAAGAAGAATCCAAAGAGGCCCACGCCCAGACACATCATAATTAAAATGCCAAGAATTTAAGACAAAGAGAGAATATTAAAGGCAGCTAGAGAAAAGCGAGCTGTTACCTACAAAGGAACTTTTATAAGGCTGTCAGCTCTTTTCTCATCAGAAACTCTACAGGCCAGAAGGGAATGGATGAAATATCCAAGGTAATGCAAAACAAGGATCTGAAACCAAGACTACTCTATCCAGCAAGTCTATCATTCAAGACACATGGTGAAATAAAGAGCTTTCCAGACCAAAAAAAAAAAAAGGTTAAAGGAGTTTATCACCACCAAACCAGCATTGCAGGAAATGTAAAAGTAACTGCTGTAATTAGAAGTAGAAAGAGAAAGAGAAACATAGGCATAAAGAATTAAAATGGCAAAAGATAAGTATCTCTCAATAATAACCTTAAATGTAAATGGAGTGAATGTTCCAATAAAAAGACATAGGGTGGCTGAATGGATAAGAAACATGACCCAAATATATGCTGTCTATAAGAGACCCACCTCAAAACAAAGGACTCACACAGGATGAGAGTAAAGGGATGGAAAAAAATTTTCCATGTAAATGAAAAAAAAAAAAATCTGGGGTAGCAATACTTATATAGGACAAAATAGACTTCAAAATGAAGACCATAACGAGAGACAAGAAAGGTCACTACATAATACTAAAGGGATTGATCCAACAAGAGGATATAACCCTGACAAACATATAGCAGCACCTAAATTTATGNAGGTCACTACATAATACTAAAGGGATTGATCCAACAAGAGGATATAACCCTGACAAACATATATGGACTCAATATAGCAGCACCTAAATTTATGAAAAAAAAAAAAACTTCTACAGGACTTTAAGGGAGAGATCGACAGCAAGGCAGTCATATTAGGGGACTTTAACACCCCACTGATTTCACTGGATAGGCCTTCCAGAAAAAAATCAATAAGGAAACAGTCATCCTAAATGACACACTAGGTCAGATGGATTTAACTGACATTTACAGGACATTCCACCCCAAAGTTGCAGAATATACATTCTTCTCAAGTGCACAGCAGTAGAGAGTGGATAAAAAAGCTGTGATACATTTACACCATGGAATACTATGCAGCTGTAAAAAAGGATCACTTATCCTTTGGGACAGTATGGAGGGAATGGGAGAGTATTATGCTTAGCANATAGAGTAGTCTCTGTCTCTTATACACATCTAGATGTGTATAAGAGACAGGTATTATGCTTAGCAAAATAAGCCAGTCAGAGAAACACAAGTACCACATGATCTCACTCATATGTGGAATATAATAAACAAAATAAACTGATGAACAAAATAGATCCAGAGCCCAGCCGGGTGTGGCTCAGTGGTTTAGTATCAACCTAGGATCCAGGCAATCGAGGTTCGATTCCCAGTCAGGGCACATGCCCGGGTTGTGGGTTCGATCAGTGACTCTCTCATCATTGATGTTTCTATCTCTCTCTCCCCCTCCCTCTTCNTCTAGATGTGTATAAGAGACAGATCAGTGACTCTCTCATCATTGATGTTTCTATCTCTCTCTCCCCCTCCCTCTTCTTTCCTCTCTCGGAAATCAATAAAGATATATTTAAATAAATAAATAAATAAATAATTTTTTAAAAACCCAAAAAACAAACAACAAAAAAAACCCAAAATGGATCCAGAGATATATAGCAGGGAACAGACTGAGGAATCTCAGAGGGAAGCTGGGGGTGGGGGAATGGGTGGGGAGAGATTAAGCAAAGAACTTGTATGTCTATAAGCTTAACCCATGGACACAGACATTGTTATGGGGAAGGCCTGGGAGTGGGATGGATGCAGGGTGGAGGGGATCATGGGGGGAAAAAGGGAACATTTGTAATACTGTCAACAATAAAGATAAATTTAAAAAAAAATTTAAAAAAAGCAGCCAGAGAAAAAAGACATATTACATACAAATAAAAATAAAGTTAGCAGATTTTTTTTTCTTCAAAAACAATGCAAGTGAGAGGTGGAGTCATGTCTTTAAAATACATAAAGAAAAAATAAATATCAACCTAAAATATTTTACCCAGGAAAAACATCTTTCAAAAATAAGTAAATAAAGCAAGCAAAGAAAAAGCTGTTAGAGAGAGTGAAACAATGAATCAATACTTTTCCCTAAAGCAACATCTTTTTAAAACTATGTATTATTCATTGCTCTTTTAAATCTAAAGACGTTTAAGTTCTTAAACTAGGGCTGTAATTTTCCATGAACTCTGATGTAACTTTAATCTGAAAAACAGCTTTGATTTTTGAGAAATCTGTAATGAGAGGGAAAACCATGATTCCCTTAGTTATTCAACAGTTATTTGTAAACTATTATTTTCTCCATTTTTGCCTGGCACACAATAGAAACTTTTATTGTGATC